TGCGCCACGCCCTCGAGAACGAGAGACAGTTCACCCTGCCGCTCGAGGAGTGGCCGAAGGTGGGATCCGCCACGGTGCACTGCGATGACGACGAGTGGGGCTGCATCACTGGTCAACTGTTGGACCTCGGGATCCAGGCAGAGATCGAGGAGGCCCGCGCCCCCGTAATCCAAGGGGAGCGCCTGGGCAACAGAGCCTTTGGCGCGGCAGAGAGCGGGGGCGCGACTGGCGGGCGCAGCCACCGGCAGCGCCTGATCGCCAGACTCACGCCGACGAACGCTGGGCAGACCCTCGCGATGGGGGATATCATGATATAGGCTGCCGCTCCTGGGTGAGTGTGCCCAGGCCGTGTTGATGGACGACGAAGTGGCCCTCTTCCCGGGGATGACATCTCGGGGTGCTTCTACTTGTGCTTAATGCCGCCGCAGTGGTGGCGTTGGTTCGCCTTCTCGAAGCCGCGGCGCAGATGGATCAGCCCGACGAAGTACGAGGAGATGTGCGTCTGCGCGAGGGTCATCCCGGCGGGGTGGTTGTCTGCGGTCGGAGTGGTGCGACGCGTGCGCAGGCAGATCGCCGCAGGCGGCCCGCGGGCCGGCGCGCGGCTGGCGGCCGGCCAGGGGCCGCGGCGGGACCAGCCTTCCCTGTCCGCGAGATGCCCGCTCAGAGGTGGTACTGGAGCATGTGCGCCTACGACTCTGATGAGACCGATATCGCCATGACTTTCGAGTGGGAGAGCACGCAGGAAACGCTTTCTGAGCACCGGGCCGCGCAGCAGCGAGCGCTCGAGGCGATGTCGGTGCCCACTTCGCTCGAGAAGGGGGTCATCCGCTCCGCGCGCGCGCGCTGCGCCGCGGAGTGGACGTTGGCGGTCTCGCGGGCCAAGCCGCGCCGCCCGTCGAGAGGCTCTTGGAGCACGGGGCGCCCGCGGCGTGGCTCTTGGATCCGGCCTCGTCGAAATGCAGGCGCCGCGCGGGCGCCGGGTGTCCAACTTCATGCTCGGACGCCAGGCGCTAAGATGCCTCGACAAGGCGCGGCGGTGGATTGGAAGGATGCATGTCCCCCCGGATCGCGCTGGACCCGGTGACCGAGTGCGGGGCGAGCTCGACGCGCGCGCGATGGGCGCCCCTCTGCTGGTCGCTGACATTCGCCGACCACTCGATTGCAGGCCGATTGCGACGGGCGCCGCAGAGCAGGGCGGCGGCGTCTCGGTCGGGGTCAGCCTCGAAGCCGAAGGCGTCGCGGCAGCGGAGCAGCGCGCGTCGGCCCCCGTCGCGCCGCATGAGTGCGGGGTGGCGTTTGTGGATTTTTCTGTATTATTATTATTAGTATTATTATAATTTTTACTATTATTATTATATGTTATTTATATTCTCTTTTTTTTCGGCGGGGTCGGTGGCCTCTGGATGGGCGCGGACAGGCTTGGAGTGCACGTGTTCTGCGCTGGCTACGCCGAGACCGATAAGGCAGCCCGTGGAGTCTACAGGAGGAACTGGCCAGGTGATATCGAGTGGGCTGACGTGTGCAAGGTGGCAGGGCGTGAGGTCGAGGACCTGGGGCGCGCCCGTCCTGGCGCTGTTGCGGTCGCGGGCGCGCGCGGACCTCCCGGCCGGGAAGTCAGTGGGCCCTCAGCCCCGAGGGCGCAGGTCTGGCTGACCCGCGCTCGGCGGTGTTCTTCGAGGCGCGGCTGCAGGCAGGGCTGAGGGCGGTGTTCCATGACACCCTGTCCCCGACTTCTCCTAGAACGTCGCTTTTGTGAAGATCGGCGGCGCCGTCGTGATGTCGGAGGCCATGGCGCGCCACCCCCTGTGCGCCTACTCTGTGGGCGTATCCACCGTGGCGAGGCCGCGGCTTTACTGGCCAAATTACCTAGTCTTTGAAACTGATGGCGTCGTGGTTACCGAAGGTCATATCGAGGACCTCGTCGAGCTCGCGTCGTCCGAGCTCGAGCCGCGTGGGCCGCGGCTGGATGAGGGCCGCGCGTGGGGCGCGCCTCTGGATCGGTGGCATGCCGCCTTCGCGCGAGCCATCCCGCGGGCAGGGCCCGGGCCCGATCCGAGGGGGGGTGGCGGGTGCGACGCGATCGCCCTCGAGCGCTGGAGCGAGGGCCGGATTTGCGCCGCACCAGCACAAGGCGCAGTATCGCATCAGCGGCAGAGGCTCGCCAGCGGCGACGGCGTCGGAGCGCGAGATCCTCGCGGGGCACTGACCTGGGCGCGCGCTTGCCCGCAGACGAGACCTGCGCAAGCTGGATCTGGCGCCCTGGCAGCGCCAGGAGCTCGAGGGCGCGAGGTGCTCTCGGCTCGGGGACGCGTTCCACGCGGGGGCGACGGCGCGGCTCATCGGGCAAGGCTTGCACCGCGCCGAGCTCCTGGAGCATCCCCCGACGCCGTCGGTTATCCGGGCCACCTTCTGCGCGCGACCAGCGAGGCGCAAGGCGCGCGTGCTCGGCCAGCAGCGCCAGGCTCGCGACGCGCCCGCATTTCAGAGGCCCAGTGCCGTGGCGCAGCCGCCGAGCGAACAGAGCACGGATATGGCCACGCACGGCCTGGTGCTCGAGATGCACCGCCGCGCCGACCATCGTGGCAGCGATGTGAGGCTGGTCACGTTGCTGCCGTATCTGCACAACGCCCGGCCGCGGGCCAGCGTCGACCAGCGCCGCTGGTGCTGGAAGCACGCAGTGGCCATGCGTTTCCATCCCTCGTGCCGCGTCAACGAGCTGGAGCTGCAGATGGTGCGCGACGCGCTGAGGTGGCGCATGCGCATTTTAGAGCCCTCGGCACGAGGGTGTGCCTTTTTGTGGACTCGCAAATGATTGTGGCGGTCGCTGCGAAGGGCCGCTCGTCGTCTCGCCGCTAGAATGCCGTGTCACGCTCCCTTCTTCATTTGCGTGCAATCCCGCCGACGCACCAAGCGGGGCGCCACGGGTGCTAAGAGGCTGAGGTCAAGTAGCGCCGATGGCGCGAAGAGGGCTAGCAATGCGGCGCGAGTGACACTGAGCAGGCCGAGCGACAGCATCTTAACGAATCGTGCGATGGCACAGTACATTGAATTCGCCGCGGAATTCTTCGTGTGGGCGCATGGCCAAGCATCTCGGCCAAGCGTCGTGAATTTGGACCAGCTGGACCAGCTGTGCGCGGAGTGCGTTGAGTACTTTTGGGCGGAAGGCGAGCCGAAAGGTTGGGCTGCCTACGCCCTCGCAGTGGCGCAGCACTCCGCCCCGGGCGCCAGGCATCATCTTGCGTCGGCGTGGCGCCGGAAAGCCGCCTGGGACAAGCGTGCATTGCCAGAGCGGGCTCCGCCGTTGACTCAGGCGGTGACGTTGGGGATCGTAGGTGTCATGTGCGACGTGGGGCACCCGCGTCCTGCTCTCGCCGTGGCAGTGGCGTTTCATTGCGTGATGCGCACAGGCGGGGTCTTAGCGGTTCGGGAGCGTGACGTCGCGATTGCCAAGACAGGAACAAACGCTGTCATAAATCTCTGTCTCGCGATGTCAGGACAGAGGTTTAATCTGCATGAAACTGTACGCATCGATGACGCGGTCGTCGTACCGTGGCTCTCCCGAGTCGTCCAAAGGCTTCAGCCTCGGAGCCCCTTGGCTGCCCAGGGCCCTAGACATGATCGCGTCGTAAAAAAATCAGGACGGGATGTTTTGGGCCATTTTCGGTCTCGGGGGGCCCTTGCCAGGGCTTCGGGGCTGTCAAACAACGATTCAGGACGAAAAACCGGTCCCAGGGAAAGGGTCGGGACTTCCAGGGACCCCGAGGTACCGCCAGAGCACGCGAAGCCACGATGACGGCACACAGTTTCCAACGGGCATTGGCCGCGCGGCCCGATGAATTTCATTCACGAGTGCCGATGTTCGTATTTTGCACCTCACACATGGCGAGGAAGTCTCGGACCAAACGCCCGGCCCGCCCAACCGACCAGCACGAGAAGTTACTCATAAGGAAAAGCGGATGGAGAAGGAGTAGGGAGGAGGAGGAGGAGGAGGAGGAGGAGGAGGAGGAGGAGGAGGAGGAGGAGGAGGAGGAGATGGAGGAGGAGGAGGAGGAGGAGGAGGAGGAGGAGGAGGATAAGATAAGATAAGATAATGGGATAGGAGGAGGAGGAGGAGGAGAGCGAGGAGGCAGGAGGATGAGGAGGAGGAGGAGGAGAGGAGAGAGGAGGAGAGGGAGGAGAGAGAGAGAGGATGAGGAGGAGGAGGAGGAAGAGTAGTAGGAGGAGGAGAAGGAGAGGAGGAGGAGAAGGAGGAAAGGGGGAGGAGAACGAGGAGAGGAGGACGAGGAGGAGGAGGAGGACGAGGAGAGGAGGAGGAGGAGAGTAGGAGGAGGAGGAGGAGGATGATGAGGAGGAGGGAGAGATGAGGATGAAAGGAGAGGGAGAGAGAGGAGGAAGAAGGAGGAAGAGGAAGAGGAGGAGGGGGGAGGAGAACGAGGAGGAGGAGACGATGAGGAGGAGAGGAGGAGGAGGAGGAGGACGAGGAGGAGGAGGAGGAGGAGGAGGAGGAGGAGGGAGGAGGAGGAGGAGGAGGGAGGAGGGGGAGGAGGGACGATGAGGAGGGGAGGTATTTGTTCAATACTTCTGTGCTGGTGGGACGCCCGCTTGCCCTCCCTCTCTTGCTGCGCTGCTGGCGTTCCCCGTCGGCCTGCGTCTCTCCTGCCCCCCTCGTCCTCGACCTCCTCGTGCTCGAGCTCCTCCTCGTTCTCCCTCCCCCGCGGTTCGGTCGGTTCGGCTTCGCCGCAGTGGGCCGCAATCGATCGGGCCGAGTCGATCGGGTGCTGTATCACTGCCGCCTCGCCTGCGCCGTTCTGAGCGGCCTCCGGCCTCTCGATCTCGGTCGGTTTCGGTTCTGCTGTCGAATCGGCCAGTTTTAGGCTGGGCTGTCGCCGTGGGCGCCGATAGGGATCGCCGAACATCTTACACGCCTGTTCAACCCCTTGCGAGCGGGACTCGGCGGACTTGTCCACGACCGAGCGGGTCATTGCCGATCGCGTCTGCAGGCGGTGTGGGGAGAGGGCCCTGGAGCTGTACAGGCAGGAGGTGGAGCGGGCCCTCGGGAGCACCGAGGCGATGCCGGAGATGGCGAGGCTGTGTGCGGAGGCCATCGGGGCGGAGATCACGGAGGCCGTCCAGATCTGCGGCGCCGACGCCAGCAACCCGAGGGTGCAGGAGCTCGAAAAAGAGAAGACGGTATGAACATAAATGTTGACGGTCCGCGCGGAGTTCTTGGGCCTGCGCTGGACACCCCTCCCTGGCGCGCGGAGCGCGCCAGGGGGTCCAGCGCAGATCCGAGAAATCCGCGCGGACCGTCAAAAGTTTCTGCGTTGCCGTTTTTGATGTTTCTTGGAAAGGGCTTGAGCCCAGGGTTTTCTTTTACTAGTGTAGCTTGTCCCTGGTGTCCCAAATGAAGGGGGCCAGCGGGTTTATTCTGTTACGACTTACAAAGTCGAATAGGGTCGAATAGGATATCCTGAGCGAGACGCTTTTTTTAACAAAAAAGAAAAAAGGTCGTTCAACTATGCGATGAAGCAAACATTTTCCTTTGTTTCGGAATTCGCGAGCGAAACGTTTGTTTTGCAGAATTTGTCGGAGACGTCTCGAGCGAGCTGTTTGTTTTATCAGATCGATTGTCTGTCTCCTGTGGCTCGAATCCTTCGAGTTTACGAGTCTTCCTATAGAATGCCTTGCCTTGCCTCGAAGTGGGACGAATCCTAACGCCCCAGACCGGGACATACGTGAAAACAAACGGTTCCTAAACCCCACGAGTGGGACACGCGTGATAAACATGGTTTCTTGACGCCCTAAAGCGGGACAAGCGTAAATACACATGGGTTCCTAAATCCCCCAGAGCGAGGGCAAACGAGATAACACACAGGTTCCTAACGCCCCAGGGCGGGACAAGCGTGATAACACATAGGTTCCTAACGCCCCAGAGCAAGGCAAGTATGAAAACAGATGGGTTCCTAACTCCCCAGGGCGGGACAAGCGTGAAAACATAGTGGTTCCTAACGCCCAGAGCGGGACAAGCGTGAAAACACATGGGTTCCTAACGCCCCCAGAGCGAGGGCAAACGAGATAACACACAGGTTCCTAACGCCCCAGGGCGGGACAAGCGTGATAACACATAGGTTCCTAACGCCCCAGAGCAAGGCAAGTATGAAAACAGATGGGTTCCTAACTCCCCAGGGCGGGACAAGCGTGAAAACATAGTGGTTCCTAACGCCCAGAGCGGGACAAGCGTGAAAACACATGGGTTCCTAACGCCCCACGGCGGGATAAGTATGGAAACATGGGTTCCTGACGCCCCAGAGCGGGACAAGCGCGAAAACGCGTGGGAGTCTAACGCCCCCGGGCGGGACAAGCGTGAAAGGGTACGCGTGACAACACATGGGTCCCCAACGCCCCAGAGCGTGACAAACGTGAAAACATGGGTTCCCGACGCGCGAGAGCGGGACAAGCGTGCACACACGTGGTTCCTAACGCCCCTGAGCGGGACAAGCGTGAAATCACGGGAGTTCTTGACGCCCCAGGGCGGGGCAAGCATGAAAACATGTGGGTTCCTCGTGCGCCAGGGCGGGATAAGCGTGAAAGCGCGGTGTGGGTTCCCGACGCCCCAGAGCGAGGCAAGCATGAAAACACGCGGGTTCCTAACGCTCCAGAGCGGGACAAGCGTGGAACCACGTGGGTGCCTGACTCTTCAGACCGGGACGAGCGCGAACACACACGGTTTCCCAACGGTTTTTGGAGGCCCCAGGGGGCCTCAATGAGCCCCCAGAAGCGGCCCTTTTATCAGAAGGAGTCAAGTCATTACACATCGGGTGTCGATGCATTGATTCTCGGAAGAGGCCGCCGAGCCTGGTTTTTTCTTCAGTTTGTAAGTTGTCCCTGGTGCCATGTTGGGGGTGGGCCGGCTGATCAACAGCTGGGGATGCCTCAGGCGAAGTGCTGGTTTTAACAACCCGACCAGTGAGTAACAGGGCAAAGTCGCAGTCTCGTTTGTTGAGGATGTCTCGAGCGGGACGCTTCTTTTGAAGAATGCGTCGAGGATGTCTCGAGTAAAACGTTTGTTTTGTCCTCTAGATTGCTGCTCTCCCTGGGCTCGAATCTTTCACGTTTTACGAGTATCTTTTTAGATTGCTGAAAACACTTGGGTTCCCAACGCCCTTGAGCGGGACAAGCGTCATAACACATAGGTTCCTATGGCACACCAGAGCGGGGCCAGTATGAAAACACATGGGTTCCTAACGCCCTAGGGCGGGACAAGTGTGAAACACACATTGGTTCCTAACGCCCCAGCGCGGGGCATGCGTGAAAGCACGTTGGTTCTTCACGCCCAAACGAGGGGCAAGCGTGAAAAAACATGGGTTCCTCAGACCCCAGAGCGGGACAAGCGTGAAAGCAAATGGTTCCCCGACGCCCGAGAGAGGGACAAGCGTGAAAGCAGAAAGGTTCCCAACGCCCCAGAATGAGGGCAAGCGAGAGACCACACAGGCTCCTAACGCCCCCGGGCGGGACAAGCGTGATAACACATAGGTTCCTAATGCTCCAGAGCAAGACAAGTATGAAAACACAACGGTTCCTAACGCCCCAGGGCGAGACAAGCGCGAAAACACATTGGTTCCTATCGCCCCAGATCGGGACAAGGATGAAAACACGTGATTTCCTAGCGTCCCGCGCGGGGCGAGCGTGATGACACATGGTTCCTAACGCCCCAGGGCGGGACAAGCGTGAAAACACACAGGTTCCTATCGCCCAAGGGCGGGACACGTGTGAAAACACATGGGTTCAAAACGCCCCATAGCGGGACACGGGTGAAGACACATGGGTTCCGAACATCCCAGAGCGGGAAACACGCGAAAACACAACATGGGTTCCTGACGTTCCAGAGCGGGGCAAGCGTGAAACCACGTGGGTTCCTAGTGCCCCAGAGCGGGACAAGCGTGAAAGCACACGGCTGGACAAGGGTGAACATACTTGGCTCCCTAACGCCCCAGAGCGGGGAAAGCGCGAAAGCACATCATGGGTTCCCAACGCCCCAGAGCGGGACAAGCGTGAAACCACGTGGGTTCCTAATGCCCCAGAGCGGGACATGTGTGAAACCATTTAGTTTCCCAACGACCCAGAGTGGGACAAGCGTGAAAACACATGGTTCCTAACACTCCAGAGCGGGACAGGGCGGGACAAGCGTGGAACCACATGGGTTCCTGACGCTTCCGACCAGGACGAGCGCGAACACACACTGGTTCGTAACGGTTGCTGGCGGCCCCAGGGGGGCCTCCGGGAGGCCAGGAGTCCCTCACCAAAGGGTGTCAAATTTCTACGCATCCGGTGTTGATTGATTGATTTTTTTCTGCCAACTGGGGCCCAGACGACCCCACGCCTGGTAATTATCCATTATGCGTGGCCTGGACGCGTGAAACTACATGGACCCTTGACGCCGCAGAGCGGGGCAAGCGTGAAAGCACACGGTTCCTGACGCCCCAGAGCGGGACAAGCGTGAACGCACGTGGGTTCCTACCGCCCCAGAGCGGGGCAAGCGTGAAAGCACGGGGTTCTGACGCCCCAGGGCGGGACAGGCGTGAAAACACATAACAGGCCGTCCCAGGGGGGGTATCAAATGCGGTTGTCCCAAGCTCGAACCACGCTCTCACGCGTCCAGGCCACACAGGGTGATATCCAACATGTGGTCGTCTGGCGCCAGGCCTGGGCAATTTGTGAGGATGTCTCGATCGAGGGCTTCGGAATTGAATCGGATCTTGAGCTCGAGCTGGTCGAGCGTCCCGCGGATTTCGACTGCAACTAGCTCGAGCTATGCGTTCAGGCAGCTCGGGCTCAAGATCCGACTCAATTCGGTCAGGATTCTGATGCCAAGGACGGCTTCATCCAAGTGCAGTAGCGCACGGCACAGTTCAACGCGGCATATCCCCTGGCACCCCTTGGCACTTCCATTGGCACGTTCTGTGGCGCGCCCCCTGGCCCGCCACTATGCGGCGCGGTACAGCGCAGACCTGCACAACACAGCCCTTGGCACGATATCATCACCATGGATCTCTTCAGCACTGCCACTGCCTATCGCCCAGTGTGCTTGGAAGAGTCCCCATGCCTCGCAGTTCTAAAGTCCCTCTCTGGCAAGGGACTCCACCCGATCAGGACAGGGAGTCACAGTCAAGCTGGCCACCGTTTGCCCACACTCTGACTGGGCCTGTGACCCTGGATGTCAGAGAAGTCGACAGTCCCTTTCCGGGCTCGTGGGTCGACCATGGCTTCCCACCGTCAGGACGTGTCCAGAGCCACCGTTTCGGAGTCGCTCCCTGGAATCTCGTGGAGCGGTGGACGTGGACACCTGCCCGCCCGCGTGGGCGGGCAGCTGTCCACCTCCTCCGCTCCCCGAGGCCTCGGAGCCGCTCCCCGGCAGCAGCCGAAGGCTGTCCTACACCCCGGCTGCGCAGCCCTCCCCCCAGGAGGCGAAGCGGCTCGCGCAGCTCATGGCCCGGGAGGAGCGCGAGCGCCTCGCCCGGCTGGCGCTGGCGCGCGCGCGGAGGTGCCGGGAGCAGGACGCCGCGGCCGCGGAGGCGGCCCGGCAGGCCGAGGGGCCCTGGGCGGTCCCCGAGGTGGGCCTCGCGAGCGGCCTCTCGGATGCCATCGGCGCGGAGGTGGAGCGGGCCAGGGCGCTCGGGGTCCCGGAGCATGCGGGAGAGCAGAAGCGCCGACGCTCTAGAGAGAGTCGAAGGAGGAAAATATCACCACAGACAGAAGCTTCCGGCGCGCCGACGCTCTAGAGAGGGTCGAAGGAGGAAAATATCACCACAGACAGAAGCTTTCCTGGCGCTTCGCACGGATTTCTTGGGTCCGCGCTGCGCCCCCCCCCCGGCGCGCCTCCGGCGCTGCCCCTGGCGCGCTCCGCGCTACAGGGTGGGGGGAGGGCAAAGAGGGGGGTGATGACTAGGGGGTGGTGGATATCATGGCGGGGGCCATGATATATCCCCAGATTTCAGGGCGC